GTCGTATATATGCAACAAGCTAGGCATGTTTGATATTTATGCTCCAGCTTGAGGGGGAGTGTTAGAGAAGTTGGGTTACAGTTGAGAGAATTACTCTCAACCTTAGGGTTTGAATTTTGAATTAGTGGCTTAGTTCTTCCCTTAGCTTGTATATATAAGTTCTTTATCTTCTGTACATTCAATACAGTAATATACAACTACAAAGACTTCTTTGCATACACTTTATAGTTTCATTAAAACACAACTACATGATCATTTCAATATAACTACAGCTTCATTGCACAATATACACTCAAATATGTGAAATGCTATTCAATTTCATTTTATATGCACTGCAGTTTCATTTCAACACAACTACGGTATCATTTTGATATAACTACAGTTTCGCTGGGTAATATACACTCAAATATGTGAAATTGTTATTCAGTTTCATTTTGTATACACTGCAGTTTCGTTTCAACACAACTACAGTTTCATTTCATTTCAATTGCAGTTTCACTTGATAATATTAAAATAATACGTGAGGCAGTGTTAGTTTAGATACACTGTAGTTTCAGTTGATAATTAATACACAAAAAATACACACTCCGTTAACTGTAACGGCGCGCCGTTTCTTTATTTAAAGAAACGGTGTCGTTTTTTACCGTGGTCCACGATATAACGATCCAAATGAAATAATAATTCGACATATAGTAGGGCAACACCCATATAATATCACTTAAATAGAGAATAACTAAGCATGAAATAAGAATTCATAAAATAATTTTTGAATAAAAATGTTGAAAGGCAATTTTTATCAAAACGTATTATTTTTCATTTGATTAGAATCAATATTTTTTGTTGACTTAATATTTCTTTAATAACCACTCGTCAAACATTAAAGTATTATATTTGAAAAATGACTTGAAATTTATTTTTCAAGTTTCTAAATGTGAGAAGGCAACATTCACAATCAGTGGATGGAAGATGAAATTTAATTTGCAAGTCAAACAAATAATTGATGAGTGAAAACTTTATGCATACATGCCACTACAGAGAATCAAAGCTTTAAACATTTAGAAATGACAAGATAATATACATGTAGCCATGTAGGGTAAAGAAGATAACGTTGAAATAGATCTTTATACAAAAAATAAAATATTTTTTTTTTGAAAACACAAAAAATAAAAGTTTAAAAATTGTAATTGAACTATGTAATTAATAATGAAAAATTACACTTTTCATCCTAAATTATTGACAAATACATTTCTCATTTCTTTTTTTTTTTTTTAATGTCACTAAGGTTCGATCTAATGATCACCCATATAGAAAAAGTCACTACATGTCATTTGAGCACAATGTGCTTAACACATTTTTCATCTCTTAATTGTCTGTAAAGTGATTTTCTTCATCTTTCACTTGTCTATATATAATGTGATTTTTTTTGTCGTCCCCGAGTACTTTGTAGACAATTGTGGAATAAAAAAGTGACAATGAATATAATCGAGGAATATATTTTATTTGGCAAAACTTGTGTGAGATCTCGAGTCTCACTGATCCTTGTTCATGAGATGAGTCGGATCAAGATGAAAATGTAATACTTATACAAGAAAATATAATACTAATAAGAAATAAAATGTTTGTTACTTATAAGAGAAAGTGCAATATTTTTGAAGCAAAATGTTACAGTTTTACATTTTGATTTAAAAGCATTACATTTTTCCCTCAAAAGTATTACACTTTCCCTTATAAGTGACAAACACTCAATTCCTTATTAGTATTACATTTTTCGGCATAAGTATTACATTTTCATATTGGTCCGACCGGTCTCACAGATAGGGGAGTCACTCATTTTATTTTATTGTACGTAATTCAGAGATCAAAAGTGTCACTTTTTAAAAAAAAAAAATCAAATTGAATACGGTGGTATCATTATACATTCTAAAATCATGGAAGACAATTAACAAAGTGAAAAAAACATTATAAAGTAATTTGCTTATTTGAGATATGGCATGGAATATTGACATGGACAATTCATTTTGACTCAGTATTATGTACCTATAAATAAATTAAAAACATTTTTAAATTAATAGATCACCCATTTATAATGGTAATAGATGTGTACATAATAGTTGACAACAAATTATGTATCTTTAACTTATTTACAAACATATAATTTATTAACTGAAGACACATAATACGTTAATTGCATACATATAATTTTCAAACAAATTATGTATCTTTAATTAATTTTCAAACACAATGTTCTCTTTTCTCTCTGTTTTATCACGCATTGTGAACAAGGTTTTAATTCATTGCGTAACAGAAGAGTTCATACACGGTATATATTCCTGAAAACTAGGAAAATAACTAACCACTAAGATAATGAGCATACATTTGAATTAATTATAACACTCTCCTTGGACATTATCTTCCCATAATCATGCCTCATTAAAAACCTTGCTAGAAAAACTTACCCAATGGATAAAATATAGTTACGGAAAAGAGTACATGATGTATGTATAATCATGTGTGACACTGATTGCCTCATTAAAAAGCTTAGACTAAGAAAACCTAGTGGGAAAAACTTAACTAAGGGAAAAAGAGTAGTACAACCAAATGCCTTCAAGGCTTAATCTTCAGGATTATGATGGCCTTCTGGACCAATTGACCAAGAACATATATAGGTTGTTGCTCCCCTGAAGACAACAATCTTCCAAGCCTACGCTCGCTACCCAATTTTGTGAACATATTTTTCAAAGGTGGATGTAGGCAGGGACTTTTTGAACAAGAATTTTGCCACTCCTCTTGAATTCATATGGATAAAAGAACTTAGGTGCAATGTGTTTTGTAAGGTTTCCCTTAACATACCCATTACTCATCTGTGTAACACATGCCGCATTGTCCTCATACATGGTAGTGGCTAGTGGGAATATCATCGTTGCTTTCTATTCCGCACGGCTACTAATATGATGTATGTATCAACGACCTCAACCATACAAACTCTCGTGAAGCCTCATATAGAGCACTAATCTCTGAGTGATTAGATGAGGTAGCATCTAGCTATGCCCTATTTAACATAACTTCACGAAATAGATGTGCCTCCACAAAGGAAAACATAACCAGTATGAGATTTGGCATTATGGAGATTAGATATGTTGCCCACATCTAAATAACCCACCAATGTAATATCTTGTTTTTTTCTCAAAATAGAGACAAAGATCTTTTGTACTTCGGAGATATATGAGGATATGCTTTATTCTGTTCCAATGTCTTCTAGTTGGAGATGCACTAAACCTAGCTAGTAAGTTCACTGAAAAAAGGCAATATCTAGCCTAGTGTTATTAGCAAGATTGAGTAGAGCCCCAATAACACTTAGGTAATGAACTTAGTGCTATTAGGTAATGAAATTCAGGCCTTAGAATATCCTCAATTATCCTCCTTAGACCTAAATGGGTCCTTATCCACTTCTAGGGTTCATACCACCATTGGAGTGCTGAGTGGATGAGATTTATTGATATAAAATTTGTCCAATAGTTTGCTTATGTAGTTGGCCTAGTGTACAAAAATTCCTTTAGGGAGATGCTCGATCTGCAAGCCGAGGCAAAACTTGGTTTTCCCCAAGTCTTTCTGTAACTCCCCCAAATCCCATATTTCTGACCCTAGTAATAATCTCAAATAAAGGGTAAAGTTGCAGAATAAAGAAAGGGGTAAAAGACTATTTACCGAAACATACAACCGAAAGGGGATGCTACTCCGTAGCTACCCTTAATAGCGTAACTACATGGAAAACTAACTAAATTAATATCATCATAATTCATTCATAAAGGGGCCCATATCACCATATGATCCAAAGTCTAAGCTCATAACAGAATAAAAGGCTTACAGGCCTAAGTGTCAAGCACTACAAAACATAACAAGGATCAACTGGACTGCGCAAGTCTAACATCAAGATTAGAACTAGAACCCAAAACTCTATACTACGTCTAGCTCCAACTAACACGCTCTGCAATCATCGGTCAAACCTGAAAGGGGTTAAGTAAAAAGATACACAAAAGTAACCCGTTAGCGCGAATGCTAAGTATAAACCACTCTATCCTGTAAAGTACATATAGATATAGATTTTTAGGAAAATTGATAGTTTGACACTTATAACACGTAAGCCAATCAGAATCATAGATGCATGTCAAATAGTGTCACAGGTATAGATATATATACATGTACAACAATAGTACTTATCTATTAAGTATATAGCTCGCATGAAAATGAAGTCCATAATCAAATACTTGAGCAATTCAAGAATAGATAAAGTGACATATAATTACATGAACAACCAAATCATGAAAAGGAGATGACATAACATAACAAGCACATTAAGAGAAGTAATGTGACATATAACCATCATTATGCACTCTCTCAAGAAAAGTGGTATTATATAAATATACATATAGATAGTAGTAACGGAGGGCTTTCATACTTCCCATGAATCATATCATACCATTGATCCTCATCATATCACAATCTCATCATATCATCTCGGTAGGGAGGTAGGAACTTCACCATGTGTGAAGGTACCTAATCCGGGCTCAGCAACCCTCTACTGGCCTAACAACGACTCGTCCACATATCTCATAAGTAACATGAAAACGGGACCGCTACTTGTAGTGTGCAAACACCCTAACTGGGATTCCAAGCCCAGTGAGTAATAGCTCAAGCCCCAAAGTAAAACCCAGGATTTGTCTACCACGCCACTTTTAGTCATACTACAGGGACGCATCACATCATAACTGTTAGCTATTATATTATTATTGGTTTATATTGTATAGTTTATATTCCTGAGGCTTTAGATTAGTTTGTTATTCTAGTCTAGATTTTAGGAGAGTTATGTGGTAGCTTTCATATAGGGCTCTATCTTGTAATCTCTGTGTTTAACTGAATTATTTTAAATTCCCTACTCATATAGTATCAGTTTAGCGTTAGGCTTTTCCGATTCCTTTCCTAAATTTTCTCCCGAACCCACCATGTCGACGAATTCCTCTGAGCGCACGGAAACCACCACCGCCTCCGCCGCTCACACCACCACAATTACCCTTACCTCCGCTCATCACTTTGTGTCGATGAAGCTAACTAACCGAAATTTCCTGTTCTGGCGTGCTCAACTTCTACCGTTTCTCCGCGGGCAAGGGTTGCTAGGATACATTGATGGCACCCTACCCTGTCCGCCGGCCACCATCACCGTCACGCAGCAGACTGGGGAGTCGGGCGCCACCACCTCCGGTCCTTCTGTTGTCACCAACCTAGAGTACGAGAGGTGGTTGCAGCAAGACGCTTCCATTCTTTTACTCCTTATCTCGTCGTTGGCTGACGAGGTAATGCCTCATGCCCTTGGCCGGAACACCGCCCGGGAGGTCTGGGAGTCACTCACGGCGGCGCTGGCATCATCTTTGAAAGCTCGATGTTTGAACCTGCTCGGCCAAATTCAAACACTACGGCAAGGAAGCAGCACCCCGGCGGAATACCTAGGGAAGGCGAGGGTGATCGTGGATGCATTGTCGCTCGCCGGCCGGGCGCTATCACTTGACGAGCAAACGCTGTACGTCCTGCGGGGTCTCCGGCTGGAATTCCGAGCAATGGCAAGCGCCCTCACTATCACAGGTACTCCCGTCTCCCTTTCTCAATTATCCGATCTACTGCAGGCTCAAGATTTCATCCAGGCAGATGAGTTCTCCGCTTCGGATCATCATGCGGCAGTCGGAGCACCAACGACTTTCTACGCCGAGCGTGGCAGTTCGAATAGCGAACGATCAGGCTATGGTGGTTGCCAGTCCACGAACAATGGCAACCAGTCCAAGCCCCAAAGTGAAACCCAGGATTTTTCTACCACGCCACTTTTAGTCATACTACAGGGACGCATCACATCATAACACTACCGGGAATTATCCATCCGGGACTCATCACATCATAACATTTCATCATACTTTTCATCATTTCTTTTCAAGTAACTAAGTTTAAGCACCACCTCCATGATAAAAAGGTTTTCCTCACATCAAACACACAAGTGGCATACTACGCCTAAATGTAGTTTGAGAAAATAGGGAATACGGGATAAGCATGTGGGATATATAGTTTAGCAAAAACAATGCGGGATCATATGCAAAGACTCATAAATAGGTGATTCATATAGCCACTTGTCGTATTCATGAAAAAGAGAGATATAAACTCTAATACGTGCAAATCATTTCATGCTATTACCTATATACATCAACCAACTAGGCATGCTCACGTACAATTATAAACTCACTTAAAGCAAGTTAGGTTACCATATAAACCATGGGTCATGCTCAGCACTTAACAATATTCCAAGGTTGCTTTAAACTTTAAATGAATAGATAAATCATGCTTTGATTGAGAAATGATTTTTGTACACGTAGCACATAACACATAGCATTTTAGAACAAGTCCCCGAGTCCTACGAGTCACGAAAACCCGCAAAAAACAAGTGGCGAACCCGCGAGGAATCAACGCCCTAGGTCGCGAGGAGACCCGACGCGCCACCCGCGCGACCTGGTTTGAAGTAGCAGGTCGCAAAGGGCCTGTCACCCATGCCTGCCACTAGGAACACGGGCTGGCTGGCGAGTCTCCAAGGACCCGCTGCCAGGCTCGCATGCCTTCGAGGTAGAGGCGAGGCAGTAGCTTCGTCTCCATTATTCTTCTCCTCACTTGGGTATTTTTGCCCACTTTCAGCCTGATACAACACCTCCAACATATCACCCAAGAAAAACATCAACAATACAACATTATACCACATATTCAACATATCAAACAAAAGATATAAATCATTATCCAGGCTTATTAATCATCAACAACACCAAGTAAGCATATAGTACACATTTGAAGAAAAATAACTCATTTTGGATATGCATGGGTTATATACCTCAAGCTTAATACTCTCCAAAGTTTGAATCCATCCTCTAAGCCTCAAGGATGGCTTCATTCTCCACTTCCTAAACCCCCATAACCAACCAAACCAAATAAATATATACGCTGTATCATTCACATGCACAAGGACACCTAGGCCACCCCGCTGCGAGTACGCCGACGAACCCAGGTTGCCCCTACGCGTTTTCTCACCCCGCTGATGTAGCCCATCAGCACCATCCTAGAGCACGCGGAAAGCTATGGGATCATAGAGTACCCAGGAGAGTGTATGAAGATATCCCCGAAGGTAGACCACAACAAGTACTACAAATTCCACTGGCAATCGGGGAAAGATACGGACGAGTGCATTCTTCTCAAGCGCCAAATCGTAGAGCTCATCCAAAGAGGCTACCTAGGTCAGGTCCGTGAAGTGGCCGTGGCAAGGCCAAAGTCAGAATCAAGGCAACGTGTGGAAGAAGGTGGAGGCTTCGGGTCGTCCACCACCGCGCCACGCAAGAGGGAGCTTGGCCGGCTCACGTAGGAGGAGGAGAGGAGTTAGACAACTCCCACCCCCAGAAGAAACAAGCTATCCATGTGATCTTCGGGGGACCAGAGAGTGGGGACTCGCCCGCAGAGAGGAAGAAGCGGGCAAGGAGCCTCTATGTGGTCGAGGTCGTGCGACCCCCACTAGGACGCCTTGGTAGTCAAGATGGAGATCAACGAGGTGGTGGTGCACCGCATACTGGTGGACATGGGCAGCTCGGTGAACGTTATGTACCATGATACGTTCACTCAATTGGGGTTATCGATGAAGCAACTAGGGCAGGTGAGGACCCCCTTTTCCGGGTTCACGGGGGACTCCATCGAAACAAAAGGGTCAATCAACCTCGAGCTAGAGATATGCTCCCCACCCCACGTCAAGAGGTGGGAGGTAGAGTTCGTGAAGGTCAAAATCAGTTGCGCCCACAATATCATCCTAGGTCAACCCACCCTAGAGGACCTTAGGTGCATGATTTCCATGGAACACCTATGCTTCAAATTCCCAACAGCAACAGGAGTCGGGGTTACTCGAGGAGACCAAAGAATCAGCCGGAGCTACTACATTCGGGCATGTCGATAGATAGGCAAGCGGGACCTCCAGGTACACACCATAGTTGAGAATCAGCCGGAGCTACTACATTCGAGCATGTCGATAGATAGGCAAGCGGGACCTCCAGGTACACACCATAGTTGAGAAGGCGCTATAGGAGGAAGAGTGCTGCCCGCGAGCCGAGTCCATAGTGGAGACCGAGGAGGTCGTCCTCAACCTCAGCCGCCCCGACCGCATGGTGAAGGTGGAAACTAGGCTCCCACCCGAGCTCCGGGCTCTTATCATCGACGTTATCATGGCCTACAACGAGGTGTTTGCATGGGGACCCGAGGACATGCCGGGCCTCAATAGGGACGTCAAAACCCACAAGCTAGTCGTATACCCCACAATCAAGCCGGTGCAGCAGCGTAAAAGGTACCTCTCTGCGGAGAGGAGGGAGTTCGTGAGGAAGGAGGTCAGCACCCTCCTCGAGATAGGGCACATCCAGGGGGTCCTATACCCCAAGTAGCTCGCTAACGTGGTCCTCGCCCCCAAGCTGTCCACCTAGTTTATGTGTGTGGACTACACCGACCTCAACAAGGACTGCCCTATTGATCCCTTCCCACTACCAAACATCGACTAGCTGGTGGACGAGACGGCAGGTTGTGACCTCATGAGCTTCCTAGATGCCTTCCACGGGTACCACCAAATCTTTATGCACAAAGACGACAAGGAGAAGACGGCCTACACCACCCCCGAAGGAGTCTTCTGCTATCGAGTTATGGCTTTTGGCCTCAAGAACTCTAGGGCCATGTATACACTGATGGTGGCCAAGGTCTTCAAGCAGATCTTCGACCACAACATGGAGGCCTACGTGGACGACATGATAATCAAGAGCGCCGAGGCCAAGATCCACGTCGATGACCTGGTCGAGGTATTTTCCATTTTGAAGCATTTGGATTTAAGGTTGAACCCTAAGAAGTGCACTTTTGGGGTGCACGGGGGGAAGTTCATGGGCTACATGGTCTCAAAGAGGGACATCGAGCCCAACCCTTGCAAGGTTAAGGTCATCCTGGACAGGGAGCCTCCAAGGTCCCTCCGGGGGGTCCAATGCCTCAAAGGTAGGCTGGCAGCCCTCGGCCAATTCCTCTCGAGGTCAGTCGACAGGTCCTTGCCCTTCTTCGGGGTCCTCAAGAAGAGTACTGGGTTCAATTGGCCCTAGAGTGCCAGAAGGCCTTCGAAGACCTCAAGGCCTACTTGATGTCGTTACCCCCGCTGGCCAAACTCGAGAGAGGGAGATCCTATATCTATACTTGGGCATATCACAAGCCGCGATCAGCTACGTGCTGGTCAGGGACGACGTGGGCATGCACCGCCCTGTCTACTATGTGTGTCGAGCCCTCCGAGGAGCCGAACTCAGGTACTCCCCCACCGAGAAGGTCATATTCACGGTAGACGTGACTGCCAAAAAACTTAGTCACTATTTCCAGGCTCATCCCGTCCATGTCTTAACCAATCAGCCCCTGGAGTCGGTGTTGAGTGCCTTGGGGTCGGCCAGCAGGCTGGTGAGGTGGTCCATGCGTACAACATCTAATTCAAGGCCTACTATCAAGGGGCAAACACTCGCCGACTTCATAGTCGAGTGCACCGCCTGGGAGGCCACGGAGTAGGCCAAAAACGAAGAGAAGGAGTGGTGGACCCTATCAACAGACGGGTCCTCAAGTTCTAAAGGATGTGGAGAAGGGGTAGTCCACACAACCCTCAAGGGCTTCCGGGCTTACTACGCACACCGCTTCCACTTTAAATTGTCAAATTATAAGTCTGAGTACGAGGCCCTCCTAGGAAGCCTTTGTCTCGCGTTGAACATGAGGGCCGAGAAGCTAAAAATAAGGTGTGACTCCAGGCTCGGGGTGGGGCAAGTCACGAGTGAGTTCGAGGCCATTGAAGATAGGATGAAGAGGTACCGGGACGTGGTGCTACAACTCCTGGGGCAGCTAGTACATTACGAGGTCATACAGGTACCAAGGGAGCAGAATGCGGACGTAGATATGCTCTCCAAACTCAGCCAAGGAACCCCCAAACACATCTCCAAGATAGCCCGAGTGGAGGACCTCGCGTAGTCCAACTCGGAGGACTACCCGTTCCTCCCAATATAAGCTCGACCTGCCTGCTGGCTAGACCACCTTAAGGAATACATGAAGACAGGTGTCCTCCCCCCCCCCCCCTCCCCCGAATGAGGTAGACGCCAAGCTCATGCAGAGGAGTGCCCCTACCTACCTACTCCTTAGGGACGTACTCTACAAGCGGTCCTACAACGACACCTTGCTGCTCTGCCTATACCCCAACGAGGTAAGGTCAGTCATGGAGGAGATCCACGAGGGCACCTGCTCAGCTCACCAAGGGGCCTACACCATGGCCCAAAAGGCAATCCTACAATGTTACTTCTGGCCCAAGATGGCCATGGAGTCCGCGGACTATGCAAGAAGTTGCTCAACTTGTCAACAATTCCAAGTCGGACCGGGCCAGCCAGTGACCAACTACACCCCAGTCGGCTCAGTCATCCCATTCTCAAGGTGGGGGGTCGACCTAGTCAGAGCCCTACCAATGGGGTCGGGAAAGTGGAAGTACATGATAGTAGCGGTGGACTACTTCACCAAGTGGGTGGAAGCCGAACCCTTAGCTAGTATCACAAACGCCAGGTGAAAGCAGTTTGTATACAAGAACATCCTGTGCTGCTTCGGGGTGCCAATGCAGATCATCACGGACAACAGGCGCCAGTTTGAGAGCAAGGAATTTAGTGAGTTTTGTGCACAATTGTAACACCCCGTATTACGGACTCTAACCCAAACTAATTATTTAATTACTTACCCTAAAAAGAGAATTAAATTCCATTAATTAATTAGAAAGGGTTCACCATAGACCATGGACCCTTATCCC